TCTCCCCTGGCCCCCCAGCAACTTCCCTTGTCCTCGGTGGCAGCTCTAACCCCCTGTCTGCCCCCAGGCATTGGCTGACGAGCGCCTACACGCAGTTCGCGGTGCCCTACTTCATCTACGACATCTACGCCATGTTCCTGTGCCACTGGCACAAGTACCGGGTAAAGGGGCACGAGAGCGCGGGGCCCCGCTCGCTGCGCACCGTCACCCGCACCTTCCTGCACAAGGAGTTCCTCATGGTGCTGCACCACCTCTGCATGGTGCTGGTGTGCTTCCCCATCTCCATGGTGAGTGGGGCCCCGAGACCCACCGGGGGGCCCCTATACCCGCAGGGGGCTGCACCACCTCTGCATGGTGCTGGTGTGCTTCCCCATCTCCGTGGTGAGTGGGGCCCCGAGACCCGCCGGGGACCCCGAGACCCACAGGGGGCTGCACCACCTCTGCATGGTGCTGGTGTGCTTCCCCATCTCCGTGGTGAGTGGGGCCCCGAGACCCACAGGGGGGCCCCTATACCCGCAGGGGGCTGCACCACCTCTGCATGGTGCTGGTGTGCTTCCCCATCTCCGTGGTGAGTGGGGCCCCGAGACCCGCCGGGGGCTGTCCGGAGGGAAGGGGTGGGACCGAGCCGCAGGATGGAAGTGGGGCGGGGAGGAGGGGGCTAGTTCCCACCGGCTGTCCCTCACCCCCCTCTCTCCCCAGCTGTGGCGCCAGGGGAAGGGCGATTTCTTCCTGGGCTGCATGCTGATGGCTGAGCTGAGCACCCCCTTCGTCTGCCTGGGCAAGGTGCTCATCCTGGTGAGTACCCGCTAGGGGGGAGGGGAGGGGAGGGGAGGCCGGACGCCTGGGTTCTCTGCCCAGTTCGGAGGGGCGGGGTGCTTGGAAGCCTGGGTTCCGTTCCCGGCTGGGGTGGGGGACGGGGGTGCCCGGATGCCTGGGTTCCGTTCCTGTCTGGGGGCGGGGATGCCCGGACGCCTGGGTTCCGTTTCCAGTCGGGGGCGGGGGTGCCCGGACGCCTGGGTTCCGTTTCCAGCCGGGGGCGGGGGTGCCCGGACGCCTGGGTCCCTCACCCCTCTCTCTCCCGCAGTACAAGCAGCAGCACACCCTGCTGCACAAGGTGAACGGGCTGCTCATGCTGGTGACCTTCTTCTGCTGCCGCATCCTGCTCTTCCCCTATATGTACTGGGCCTACGGGCGCCACGCCGGGCTGCCCCTGCACCGCGTGCCCCTCGCCCTGCCGCCCGCCTACAACCTGGGCGCCGCCCTGCTCCTGGGCCCCCAGCTCTACTGGTTCGGCCTTATCTGCCGCGGGGCCTTCCGCCTCTTCCGCCGCGCCCGGCCCAAGGACGCCGCCGCCCTGCGCAACGGGCACGGCCCCGGAGGGCGGGCGCTGGACTGAGCCCTCCGTGCCAACGGGCACGGCCCCGGAGGGCGGGCGCTGGACTGAGCCCTCCGTGCCAACGGGCACGGCCCCGGAGGGCGGGCGCTGGACTGAGACCCCCGTGCCATGGGCACCGCCCCAGGGGCAGGCACTGGACTGAGACCCCCGTGCCATGGGCACCGCCCCAGGGGCAGGCACTGGACTGAGCCCTCCGTGCCATGGGCACTGCCCTGGGGCAGGCACTGGACTGAGACCTCCCAGCCCACCTGCTCTGCACCAAGGACATGGGCCGGGGGGGGGGAGGGGGGGCTTGCTGGCCTGAGACCCCCCCACACCTGCTCGGTGCCACGGGCACTGCTCAGAGGGGTGGGCACTGCATGGGGGCAGAGCCCCAGGCGCTGGCCTGAGCCCGTCCCTCGTGGTGGGCAGAGGGGTGACCTGACACCCGCTGCCAGCAGCTTCGAACTTATTTATTTATTTATTGGGGGCCTGCCCTGGAATTCTCCGGGAGCTGCTGCAGGAGGGAGCGGGGCCCCATTGGGCCCCCCACTTCTCCAGGGACTGCCCAGTAGGGGCTGGGGCGGTCCCTCTGGGCGGTGCTCAGTGGGGCACAGCTCAGACACCCCCTAATCACGGGGGATGTGGTGCAAATTGGGGGGGGCCAGCTGTGCTGGGAGGTGGGGGCTTGGCCTGGAGATTGGGGGGAACCCCTGGGAATCTCAGGGGCCACCCAGGGGATTGGGTGGGGGCACAGCCAGACTCCACCTGCAGACAGGGTTTGGGTGGACTTGGGGACCCCCCGCACTGCCCCCCACTGTAGCAATAACCAGGCAGTGGGTGGGGAACTGACCCTCCCCAAAGACTGCAGGCTCTGCCCCCCCAGCCCCTCCCTGGGGCAGGATGTAAATGGGGGGGTTATAACCCCAGGGGCCGCAAAGGATTAAAGGAGCCTTCATCTAATGCCAGCGCCGCTGCCTCCGGGTGCTTATTACCCCCCAACCGCCCCCCTGACCCATCTCCAGGTGATTCTTACCCCCCCCCGCCCCTCCAAACCACCTCCGGGTGATTATTGCCCCCTGCCACCCCAAACTGCCCCCCAGCCAGCGCCTCAGTGTGATTATTGCCCCCTGCCACCCCAAACTGCCCCCCAGCCAGCGCCTCAGTGTGATTATTGCCCCCCCCAGCCAGTGCCTGCAGGTGACTGTTACTGCCCCCGTGATGCCAGGCATTGGGATGCCACGACGCTGCAGCTCTTTATTGGGTGGCGCAGCTGAACCCCGATGTCCTGCAGCCCCTCAGCTCTGCGACCTGCAGCCCCTAAGCGAGAACAAGGGGGGGGGGTCACTGCCCGGCTCCCGGCAGCACTGGGGCAGGTGGGGATTGGAGGGGACCAGGCCTGGGCACGGGCGCCAAGCATCTGGGCAAGGCCCCTGCAGTGCTCCCCAGCCCGTGGGGGGGGGGGGGGAGGGGGAGCCTGGGAAGGGGACCCAGGCATCCGGGAGAGACACCTACATTGTGCTGAAGATCTGGTAGAGGAAGAAGAGCAGGGTCAGCAGGATGGATCCAAACAGGATGTGGTGCAGGAGTCGGGGGAGGGGATCTGGTGGGGGGCAAAACGGCCAATGTGGGGACAGTAGGAGCGAACCCTCCCCCAAGCCTCCGCCATGGGGCCAAAGCTTCTGGCCATCGAGTGAGCCCAGGGCCCCTCCCAAACCACTGCTGGGAGGAGCCCAGGGCTGGGCTGGCAGGGGCTGCGGGTCGGGAGTGAGGGGCACCGGCAGAGCTGGGGGGGGGGCTGGGCTAGCAGGGGCTGCGGGTCGGGAGTGAGGGGCACCGGCAGAGCTGGGGGGGAGACAGGACTGAGGGGTGCTGTGGCTGTGGGGCTCCCTGCACCCGTCCCCTCACTGGCTGTGAAGAACACGGGCTGCTCCCCGATGTAGCGGTAGGTCGCCAGGATCTTGGCTCGGTCATCGTCGGGATAATTGAACCAGAGCAGCTGCAGCGCCTGCCCCGTCTCTGCCCTGCGTGGCCCTGCGGAGGGGGGAGACACTCTGGTACATCAAGGCCAGGACTCTACTGCTCCTCAACAGGATGGATTCACTTCCATCTTTGGTACTCGCAAAGGGGGCCGCACCACAGGATGACGGGGCCCAGCGGGAGGTGCTGGTGACGGGGGGGTTGGCACCGGGAGCCGTTTGGGGGGGCCCAGGAGGTGCTGGTGACGGGGGGGGGTTGGCACCGGGAGCCGTTCGGGGGGGGTCGGCCCTCACCTGTGTCCTGGTCGGTGCTGTTAGAGGACAGAGGTCTGGCTCCGAGGGGCGTCACCAGCACCCACAGCAGGAGCCAGCCCCACTGCCCCATAACTGGCTCCTGTTGGGGCGGTGCTCTACCTGGCCACACCCCCTTGGAGTGTGACACCACGGCCCCCGCTGAGCCCACCCCCCGCCCCAATCAGCCCCGACCCGCCACGTCGGCTGCCATCTTTAT